AAACTTGCTCTCCTTTGTTGATGTATTGATTTTGTATCCTTAGTGGGACTACCATAAGTCTGGCATTCGATGTTTTCTCATCAGTGAACTCTGCTCCGGTGTCGGGATGGGATGGAATGTTTATTTGGAAGTTCACGTAAGCTGTACTGATGTTTTTTGTTGCTACCGCTTTATTGCATTGGTGAGTTTGACGTGACGGAGAAGTTGCACCAGTGCTTGGATTGATTTCGGTGTCGTAGTTTGATAATGGAGGGGATCCGTTCTGTACCCGATTTGGAGATTGTATTGGTATGTCGTAATTTGTCACTTCTGATGGAGAGTCACTTACACTTCTTTTTGTTACGTTTTGTCTTCGTCTTCGTGGGAAAAGTGATGAGCGTCTTAAATAGCGGCTTGGTCTTTGCATATTATTGTCCTCTTGAGGTTTCTCTCAGGTCTATGGTGCCTCCACATGACAGTGTGAGGAAGTGTGCTATGATTCCAGCGACGTTCTCTAGTGTCTGGTATTGATGATTGACCTTGAAAGGGTGGTTGGAAAGTTGAGTGTGACTTGGCGGATTCTCGTTGGCATAGGATTGGATTATGGTGTCCGCCACAGTTGGCACAGTCTGGCATATGACAGTATTTTGTCTTGTGGCGTGAGTCAAAACATTTCCAACAGGCGCCTAGTGACTTGAGTCTTCCAATCATTTGGGGGATAGTGCGATATTTATCACAATTTTCGAACGCATGGGCACGTTCGCACCCAATGCAGTATGGCACCCTTTGGTCACGGGTGCGTGTGTGGAATACCGAGTGTTCTTCATTAGGGTTTTCGTTGCGACTTTCGATGAATTCCCTACGTTTGATTATAGTCGTTAGGTTTACTAGAAGGTCTTCCATTGTCCATTGGCATCCACTATCGAACTGTTTGCTAGCTATTTCCTCTTGAATTGGTTTTGAGAATGTTTCGGTTACCAGAGTAACCATATAAGAGTTATCCACCATTTCTCCTTGCTTTTGTAGTGTAGCTATAATGGCTTTAATGTCATTAAGATTATTGCGCAGGGAACGTGGGTCGTTATTGCATGGTTTCATGGATGTAAGTTGACGAATCATTTGTATGGTTATTCGCCTTGGGTCTTCGTATTGATCTTTCAATTGTTCTATTGCTTTTTCATATGAGTCTGCGGTCCGAGGAATCATTTGTAGACATCTTGCCGCATCTCCTTTGCAGCAGCTCAGGAGAATTGAAAGTTTCCGTATGTTAGAAAAGGGTTGTTTATGAACCAGTTCTTGAAAGAGTTCCCAAAATGGACCGAATTCCGAGGGATTGCCATGGAATTCCGGTAGCTTTATGTCGCCAATGAATAATTCTTGGTCAATCATTAAGGAATTCAATGGTTGAATGAGAGACTCTTGGTTTGTTTCTTTGGAGTTATTGTTGCCTTGGTTTACTGAATTGGTTTGTGAAAGATCAAAGGCGGCTGCTTGACATTCGAGTTCTATTAGCCTCTTGTACAGTTGTTGGGATAATAGTGTTGCAATGGATATTGTTTTGTCTCCTTGTTTTTCTTCCCAGTAATCGTTAAAAGTTTCTTCCAGTGTCTTATCTTCCTCCATGGTTGCTATTGCTTGGATACTGGATTCGTAGAGTGTCCAAGTTTGCTCTGTTTGTTCGTCCAATTGTTGTCTCAACTTAGTCAACTGATATTTGGTTTGTTAAGACGAAGAGTTTTAGTTCGGAGTTGTCACTGGGAAACTCCCATTCTGGTCTGTATTGGTTTGAATCTTCGATTAGTTTTTGAAGGATATTGAGTTTTCTTGTTAGCTTTTGCTTTGTAGTGGTGATGTTGAAAGTTGTTGAAGACATGAGGGCGTCGAGATGAGAGCGTCGAGTCGGTCACCAAACAGTAAGGCTCGAATGACAAAACTGTTAGGCGACCTTCTTATATAGTTATTGCAGTGGGCGGGGTCAATTCTGATTGGTTGTTGATTTTTTTGTCGATTGATTTTTTTTTTTGATCTTTACTGCTTTTCCGTGTTTTATGCGTGATTTTGACATTTTCCGTGCGTATTGAATTGCTGTAGGGAGGCTAATGAAAAACCCTGCAGAAGTCTCGGCTTTTAACAGTATTTCTTCTCTTTTGATCATTGATTGCTGTTGTTTTTGCGCAACATGATCCGTGGCTGAGAATTTTTTTTATCGGCGCGCGTAGGCGCGATGGTCGGTGCCATCGACGCCATTAAGTCAATGTGCGCATTGATTATGACATTGTTTATGTTGATCGATTAAGTGTTATTATTGCATGTATACTGCTTATCTTTAGAGTATTGGACAATTCTAGAACTTCGATGTTGAGAAAGTTCTGGATTCGCTCCCTTTTCTTGACCCATGACCTGGGTTAATGTTAATAATTGGGTTTTTATCGGGGCTCAATTGCTAAATTGTTTGTCATCAAACTGGACCATGATTGGCTACTAGATTGTAGGCCCCAGATTCGAGAATGTAACAAACTGTTGCTCTCTCAGAGCTCTTTTAGTAATGAATGGTTTCGTTCATCAGTGATAAGGTTACATGTGTCTTATGATTCTGTTGCTTTTCTCTATTACTTTCTACCGAAGGAGAGCCTAGCTGGGTTCGTGTTGATTAAGTCTTTTGTAGTCAATAATGCGATTTGCAGAAGCTTGAGAAAACGTGTAGTCAACGAGGACTGTCTTGTACAAGGGTGGACGTGATATGGTAAGTTTAAAAGTTAATTTATGCGTAGTTGAATTAGTCCTCGGAGTTTTGTCAGGCCGACTGAAAGCCCATTCCCGTTCTCTGGGTTGTATTATAACCCAATCATTTTCTTTATACTGTTAAGTGTATTTAACGTAGATTATCGAGGCCTGCTCGATGGCTGCTTCTAAAAGCATTCGATGAATTTGTTCTATCGTTGTTTATTGATCGTTTTATTAGGATGGCTTTTAATTCGAGTCTTTACCGTGCGTCTTAAATGCCACTCTCCTTCTCTGTCGTCTTCCTTTTTTCTTTTGCCTTTCGTATTAATTTATTCTTGCCATTGATCGATCATTGATGATGTTTCCCTGTTGCGGGTGCACACGCACCAAGTTACAGAGAACGATCAAATTGTTCTCGCAACAGGGTTGTTGCCTCAATGCCCCGACTGACCGATCCGGTAGCTGGCATGCTATGGGTGTATGAGTACCAAGGCCGCAGAGGGTGAACATCTTGTTTGGTATGAGGTTGGTAGGTTATCGATTACATGTTCCACATTGTGATAGCGTGTTGCCTCAGCCATGCCATATGATGGCAACCGAGGCTTGCAGTTCATTGGAATGTTATTGATCGTGAGTCCTTTTCAAGACTGACGGAAGAGTCGTGGAGGGATTGTGCTATAGCATTATGCTGCGGAGAGGGAGAAAAGAAATTCAATTGAGAAGTGTGAATCGAGTGGCAATTCACTTCTTCACTCCTTCTTTCTTCATTTCCGAATTAAGTGCTCTTAGTTATGATTGTGTCATTTATTTGCTTGCGAGTTCCTTTGATCTCTGAGACGGATTTTCCTTTCTTGTATTGTTTACTATGAACATCATGTCCATGTCTAACTTTGACCGTCCGGCAATGAGTGGTTGGTGTACGAACACACACCAACTGGATTTCACTTGTCGTAGTATTGATTGATGGTGTGTTGTTACTGACGAACAAGTTTTTTTTCTTTTGGTGTCTCCACTCTTTCATCGGGCTTCATCACGAGTAATTAGCCGGTGGAAATTTGCACATAGCGGGTGATCGACATTGGGTGTCATTCAATTCGAAGCTTCGTTTTAGTCAATTATATACGGTTTGATGTAATTTATGTTTGTTTCGAGCGAACTTCTTATGAAGTTGTTTGTTTATCACTTCTTCATTGATTTATTGAGTCAAGTTGAGGGTATCAAATCTTCTCGAATTGTCAAATTATTACACTTAGTCATTTTCTGCAAACCTTTGAAGTGTAATTGAATGGCATTTTCGTATTGATTTCGTATTTGTTTTGTTCTCTTTTTATTTATCTTGTATCTCTCGATTCCGTGAAGCATTTCCGAAGTTAGATTGCTGTTTGCTCAGCATGATTTATTTTGGAAGCTTCCGATTCCAGAGTTTTCTTGTAAACAATTGCGATGGTTGTCTGCATATCGATCGATCGATTGGTTTATGCGCTCATCAATGGGATGTTGGCGACTCGTGCGTTGAGGAGATTGAACGAGGTTTGTTCGCAGTCAATTATCGAGGTGGTAATGTATTCATGAGGACCTTAAGTGAGGCTAGAGAAGCGGGACCCCGAATTTGTATCATTTGTGGCTGTTGGCCACTCCCCAGGGATTTCAGTGGCTATTGGCCCCTGACGGAAATTCCGATGGCTATCGGCCATAGGAGGAATTTTCAGTGGCTATTGGCCGCACGACAGGAATTCTAGTGGCTATTGGCCACATGACGAAGATTTCGGTGGCTATCGGCCACACGACAGAAATTCCAGTGGCTATTGGCCACATTTCAGTGGCTATTGGCCACACCTCGAGGATTTTATCTTTTTGAGGGTCCCGTTTTTTGGGGAACCAGAGGGAATTGGCTGATCGGCAAAACGCCCTGGGTGTCATGACGACCTGTCACTTTGCAGCTGCGTTAAGATCAATATGAACAAACGATAAAGCGGGCATATACATATGTACATATATTGTTTTTCTTGTGCGAAAGTAACATCTTTCCTCGTGCTCTATTCAGGGAAATGTTCACGTGACGTCGCTGGCCAGTCGACATCACCGTGGCGAGATCACATCATAAAGCACGAGCAAAATGTTTTCTTATTTTTTTGTTGTTTTTTTTCTGTTTCGTTTTTCATATATTCTACTTGCGCTTGAGATTAGATTGATAAACTCAACTTATTAGATTTGTGTATTCGCTCCATTTAAGTATTATTTCAGTGAACTGGTGATTTTCGTCCAATGCCCTTCGTACTAGTTTTTCGTATAACGAGGCAAGTGCAATTGTCGACCGGGATTTCAATTAGCATATGGTTCAGTGTATGGTGGATTTATTTCTTTCGTAATTTTTCTAAATTTTATTTGCTGTTTTGAAAACTTGTTTTGTTGTTATTGTTGGCTCTTTTATTATACAATTGTTTGTTTTGATGTACTGTTTTGTTGTTATTGTTAATGTGAATTATTGTTGCTCTACTGTTGTTGATGTGGATTGTTATTGGCTTCCTAAAGATTTTATTAAACAGTTTGAAATTATCGTGTTAATTTATTGTATTATGATGGGTGTGTGTTAATGTGGCTTATTAGGATTAGGGTATGATTGTGATTGTGTGACTGCGATTAGGTAGGACGAGTCTTTAATTTGGTTAGTTAAGTTTAGTGTTTGGATTTAATGGTTTGGTTAGGTTTACATATCCGTACCTACTGTCGCATCTTATTGTGCCCGGATCCGTTTCGGATCGGCCGATGCACCATGTTTCGACGGTAGAGTGGTAGATTGCCCTATGATGCGACTTCTATTAATTATTTTATTGAAACAACACTTGTAAATACTAACATTTATTAACATATCTTATACCACAATTCCTAAAGCAATTATTGACACATATTACAACTTATACAATTTATTTCCTACATTAGTTGATTATGTTTGGTTAGCCTAAATTGGTATTGGGTTCTTCAATATTGATTTGTGCCTTAAGGTATTGTCGGTAGTGGCTGGAGGTGTGAGTTGGTGGTCCTTGGTTAGTGATATTGATTGGTGGCCTTGGCCGGTGGATGGTCCACTGGCTGTACCTTATTGATTACTTTGTGCTTATTGATTATTTGGTTATTGCTGGCGTTGCCGCCTTATTGGTGCGACCGGAGTCGCTTGTTGGAGACCGCTGGAGACGACTGGAGAAGTTGAGGAGACCGGCGAAGACCGCGAAGACTGCCCGGAGTCTCCGACTGCAGTATTTATACCCCCAGAAATGGGTGGTATTTATACCCGGGCCAGGGGGCGGTCCGTTGGAATGGCTGGTTGGAATGGACTGGCAGTGCGGCCAGCGGCAATTTGAATGCAGGTTTTGAGTTAGTTAATCAATAGGATGACGTGTCAAGGATCCACCTTGGTTTCTTTCGTCGCATCATGACGAAACGTCATGACAAACTCTTTGAAATCGGTGTTCCAGATCCTGAAGAACCAGCTCAGCGATCCTAGTGCGACGCGGTTGAAACCATCCTAACAAGGGGAGTTCTTCAGGGAGCCCATGCTTTCTCAAAACGGTTTTTCGCATGATATAGAGGGATGTGCATAATGTACAGTGTTATAAGGGCCACCAGGAGTTACAATCACGAATAGGGCAACCTCTTGTAGCTCTGACATAATTTTGGACCCCTATGTTTGGACCCCTGCTCAACTAGCCAATTACCGATCATCAACCGGACCACTCACCAAGTCCGTACTTCTTTTTTTGGCAATCAGAGGGTCATTTAGCGGAAATGGATCATAGATATGCACTCCATGCACATCCCTCTTTGTCATGCAAAATCCGTTTTGAGAGAGCATGGGCCTCCTGAATGACCTCCCACGCTAGGATGGTCTCATTCGCGTCGCC